ATATTGCATTGGATTTATCAGAATTTCTATGAAACTTATTAAGTTCTTACAGCTTTGGGTCACTTTCCAAACTTAACATAAAATATATCTCTTAATTTATTACAATCTATAATCTATAATAACACATCCTATATTTGATGTGTTTTGAGAATACATTTCCCGTTATTAAATACTGTTCGAAAGAAAGTCTGCTATTGAAACCAGAACGCCTGATCCAATCTGCATAGGTAGTACTTAATTTGAAAACCAATTCCCGATTGAATATCGAATATAAATAAATATAATATATAAAACACGGTACTTGCCAATACTATCGATTTTCTTGGAAAAACTCTTGCATCTAGGAACGACTTGTCCAGCACCATAACTTTTTCCGCAAGAAATGGCAATAACTCAAAACAAATATTTTAAAACAATGGGGTACTTATATAAAGCCACGTTCATATGATCAAGCCGAAACGCATACCGTTTTTTTCGGATCAGGCCACATTTTTCAGCCCATTGCTGTTCCAGACTGCCGTCCAAACTTGATACGCCACGGTGTTACGTTACTGTATTCTGTTGCACGTGTGTACGCGGCTTAAGAAGCCGCTTCGTTGTAGAACTACTGTATTTAACTAGAACACATTTTGATGTTACACGTTTGGAAGGAAAACCAGACATTTTAAAACGAAGTTCGGTAATTTATTGGGTTGGGGGTTGTATGGGACTCCAGCCTTGCCGTTTACTCGCTGAAACCCCTAAGGCTATAAATAAAATCCGTTTTGGCGGAAAACTGGAACTGTCCAAACTACAATCTGTGCGAACACGTCACAACTCGAGGTTCCGTTCGTTCGTCTGAACGCGGCTTTATAATATATTTTGATCAAATGTAGACAAATTATATCTATTCCTCAAATATACAAAGACAGTTTTGCTCATACCCACTGTACATTTTTTAACTTAATCTTTGTTCTGATGATCGATTTGCCAATGCAGTAAACAGATGTAAGCCGAAGGTTAAAAATTGTTTTTAAAATATCCAAGAGAATGATCGCAACAATTTAACTGTAAAGGACATTTATCGGGCTCAATTAAAAAAATAATTTCGGTGGCCTTAACGGAACAATAAATTTATTTTAAGACTTGAATATTAACTCGGTCTACAGTGCTCGTAAGATTTTTTGCTTGCAACCGACAGTTATTTCCATAATTACGTAATTCGAATTGCATTTCTCTGTACAGGGTAAGAAGAAAAAGCATGTTTAAAAAAACTGTTACTCGGTGCACGATAACTTGTAGGTATCTGAAAATAATTATTATATGCACGCAAACGCCATTTTTAGCATGCACCAAATGCTCGAAGGGGTGGCATTTATACATACAAACCGACTTGGAAGCTGTAGCTTTATTTTAATTTTTTTACATGTTATACCAAAATTGAGACCTTTATTTCGGTGTAATTACGTACTCTAAGTTGATGTAGGTTAAGTTTAGAAGCGAATGCAATTATTTTCTAGAATTTGTACTGAATTGTGTCGGACCGTTTATATTCAATCGTACCTTAAATAATCAATGGTTTCTTAAAATATCAATAGATTTTTACGGTTGCAATACCTCAAATACAGGTTCGCTGAATTGGCCAGGTCGATCATCAGATCTGACATCTATATATTTTCAAATTTTTAGCAGATGTAAACAACATTTTTTGCAAAAAATAGTAGATATAGAAAACAAAAACAACAAATAGAATTTTACAAATATTAACCATCAACATGGTCATTACCAAGGCAAATCACATAAAATGGAATTATGTCAGATGAGTCCATTTTTTTTAAGTTATAACAAATTTTTCTGCTGGTTTGGCAAAAAATAGTAGCTTTTTAGCATTAGTCAGAAATAGTAATACCAGATATAATTAAGATACTTAAATAAAATTTGATACATTTTCCTGTGATTAACAAAAGTGCCTTTAATAAGTTTGTTACCTGAAGCTGCGAAATTGACAAGAATGACACATTTTTAAACCTTCGCTTTCTTAAATTTTAAATCCAACAAACAAAAAATCCTTTTCACTCGAACTTACTTTCGAACTGAACTGACCTGAAAGACACTAACTTTTTAACCTGGAATGAGTTTCCCAATAAGTTCTCTTAAACTTTTCCCATTTAACCGATGTGGCAACTAAAATAACAATGAAATGCATGGAATGGGAGCATGAGAATGGAACAGACAGTAAATATAGTAAACATAATTTAGATGAGCTACTTAAGTTCGACTTAGATTTTTTCATTTGGCTTGCTTTCTCTACTTTGTGCAATGAGCTCCTTAAACTTACGTCCCCTAAACCCATCATAGCTTGCTTTACCCCGTGGCCAACGAAAGGCATAAAAATGTACAATGAAAATACGAAAACTTTTCTAATCTGGTGGATTAACGAAATTGAAATGTACCTATACAAGAAAAAATTGTTTAGGAGATGGAACCTGAATAATAAGTACTTAGAATTCAATCAATTGAAATAAAAAATAGGTGGGTTCATTTGAAAACATATAGTTTTGTCCATATAATAATATATGTGGATCGCGGTACAAAAATTGAATAATTTGTTTGTAATTTGATTGTAATCTTCAGTTTGCTCCTGACTTGATCAATTAATTGTCAAAATGAAAAAATGGTAAGTACATGAACCGACAAAACACGTAGGTAACGTTGATTTGGTTCAGAAGAAATAAGTAGGCAAATACTTATTACCTATGTAGGTAAATAAAAAAAACAATTTATAAATTTTTTCCGAAATTAAGGAAGTATTACCCTATACGAAGTATTATTATATATACGCTTGCTATTAAGCAGTTTCAGTCACCCACAAGGTCTTATATCATCCATAAATAAGCCAGAAAACACCTTTTTCAAAAATCGTATATTTATGCTAATTTAAGGCGCAGTGTCGCCAGACTACCTACTCAAAACATTTCATGTTTAGGAAAATTGCATCTTTTCACTGCAATGCTGTGCAAAGCATTTTTTATTAAAATCCATTCAATTTGGAATGGTTTGGAAAATTGAAATACCTACCTAGTTTTAAAAAAATTAACAATGCTAAACTATTCCAAAAGGTTTGATTGGTTGTGGCAAAAGTGGAAAATCCATTTTGGTATACATAGCAACAATGCGTGTAAAAGGGGATGTTCTGGAAAAAACTTAATAATTCTTAAACTTGAATAAAATAAATAGCGATTTACAAATTATTATACAATAAAAAAAATTTCTTGATTTTTTTCTGGTAGTCACTTATCAAGTCGTCAAAATCAATCGTTCGAAGTAAGTCAATGCTTGACCTGAAGCTTAACCAATGGAGAGATAGTGAAGAATAGAAAAATAAAAAAATGGTACTTAGTTTTAGGCGAAAGTTTAGTTTGTTTTTTTTAAAGACGACGGCGTTTTGACGGTTAGGAGTTCGAAAAATTATTTCATGTGTTTCTTTATAATCTGTGCGAAAAGTGGCAGTTTTAGATTAATTCGAATAAGAAAAATTTGTGAAAATAAGCGTGCTATGCCTACATATGTCCGCAATTTTTTTCAAATGACATCTGCCGCCTCTATAGAGTAATAACATTTTAACTTTCAGGCTGAATAGACAAATAAAGCCATATACAGTAAAGTCCGCTTATAATGAACCCGGTTATAGTAAACTTTCGGTTAAAACAAACTTTTCTCCTTTAATTGAAACGTCATCCATAAAGGCTAACGCATTTTTTTACTGGTTATAACGAACCCGTTTATAACGAACTTCCAGATATAACGATCACTTTATAGGTTAGTTGTATATTCACTTTCCGTTTATAACGAACTTCCACGCTCAGCTACACGAATCGTGCGGAGTTGTTTATATTAGTGAGAGCGAGAAACAGGCAGTGACTTGTTTTTTGCCGCGTTATGTTTGTAAATCGTTTTACAATGGAAAAACAAAAATGCAAAGCTTTTTCACTAAATGAAAAGTACGAGATTATTAACAAAATAAAGTGTTTCAAGAAGAGACATAATATCAGTAAAACACAAGTGCGAAGCTCCAACCTATAGATCAAGGAGTAATACATTCCCTAAAGCCATTATAGGAAAATTCTTCTTATGAAAATGTTAGAGGCTATCGATAAAAATGAAACATTTTCTATAAATCTCTTAGATGCAGTCAATTTCATTCATAGAGCTTGGCAAAAAGTTAGCCGAAAAACCATTGCACATATCTTTAAGCATGGTGGATTTGTAAGAAAAGACAATAATTATTAACCAGACGATGAAATTCCACTTAATGAATGGTTAGAAAAGCATAAAGACTCTGACTACGAGTATGACTCAGATGAAGATTTGCCCAATTTTGTCGAAGATCAAGTTAAAACCAAATTGCGTGATTTCAATTTGGATTCAGTGATGTTATGAGCTTCTAAACAAAAAAAATAAACCGACCAGAAATAAGTACTCGTGGGGATTTACGGTTGCTACTCACAAACATTGCGCCGGATGTAAACACACATATTAATTTATTTTTTAGGTACTTTGACAAAGCTATAATTTCGATAAATACTTCTTCAACAAAGTGTTTTATTTATAGTTTATTTTCACGTCACCATTTACCATTCAATACATCAACGTTAAAGTTTGCATGCTTCATTTATGTAGTTTTTTATCCAGGGTCCATGTTTTGTCTATGAAAAGGGGTTCGCAGGCCAACAGAGTTTGGGAACCACTAGTATGAACGATACAAGATTTTTTTCATTGAAACTGCTTAATGTCAAGCGTACTTTAAGTTTGAAAAACAAAATATTTGAAATTGGGCGAATCTTAAGACACCAGCTCTGAGGAGACGTTACCCAGTAATTCCCCCAAAGGGAAGTATTAGCAATAGATACTAGTTGGGTGGTAAATATTACCCTTCAAAAAAGTTACCACTATTGATGAGAAATAACAATAAGTAACCCATTTTTAAAGGGCCAGTCTAACCTAAAATAACGATTACGAACCTGTTTAGAAACAATCTATAGTGGTAAACTAAGAACAGCACTTACACAAACACACACATATTTTCACAAATTGTGTCAATCGAGTTTCACGTTTTAACTCATATACATTAATTACACTTCAGTAAACACAAATGAGATCATTAGAATGTTGCGGAAGAACGAAATCAATACCGAAGCAGATATCTAATAAACACGCCATTAACTCGAAAAACCATCCAAAACAGTATCAATCATAATCGTAAATAACTAAACAAAAGTAGAATACAATTTGATTCGCCTCTCCTCACAGCTCACAGATCACCGAGGTTGCAGATTAGAAACTGCCAAATATTTCTATACAGTGCTATTTGTCTCTTATTCCGAACGGATGCTTTCCAAACTAAAGTCCACTTCCACCACTTGCAGAAGAAAACTTCTTTACCGATTGCGTTCACATCAAAATTTAGCGGGAAATTCGAAAGTTTGAATTTAATTTCAATTTAATTGTCATTGTAATACTACATTACAAGCATCTCATTAATTGCGATGTTCAAGTTTGTGCTTTAATTAACATCACCAACTACAGGGCATTATGAGATGCTTGAAATATTATTACAATGACAATTATTAGGCGCTATTTATGTTCAGTTGTTAGCTGATAGCTGTTTTTGTTATCGATAACGTTTAGGAAATGCTCTCTTACAGAGCTCGTATTCTGGTTAGAGAGCTGTTTACTAACTAAAACTCCTTCCACATTGGCATCCAGCCATGTACTGTGGCCATTTCTGTTCTGTTAATGTATATTTACCATACAGGCAATATCTTTTATTTATTTGGGAGTTTAACCATTTTGAATCAAACTTTAAAAGTCCCTGGTAGACCTGGGTAACACTGAGTTGAATCGGGTTGGATGGCACTGTCACAGCGCATTTGTCTTGCGTGCCAATTACGGTTTGTGTGCCGTTGTGTCCAGATGCTCTGTGAAAGTATCGTTCAACTCAGTGTTACCTAGTCTCTGGCTGATTCTATCTTGGAAATCCTATATAGAAAATCGACATCGTCGACCATGTATGTTGATTGTCACAATTACGATACCAACAATTAATCGGGTCTCTACCTTATACATGGTGGTTTTTTCAATTATCTTGAAACGCTTAAATACTTGGGAAACGAGTTATCCGAGGAAAAAAATGTTTCAAATAAGAAGTTAATATCTGGAAGGGGGAAGTTTATTCGTATCAGAAAAGCAACGCCTACTTCGACCTTGTAGACTAGACAGGGGTCAACTTGAGAATTTCAAATGGTAACCACAACATTTTAACGAAGATTCAAATAGTACGTCGAAAACTGGGAATAATTTATCTAAAACATTTTCTTCGATTTTGACAGGTGGCGCTGTAATCCATCAATTATCCATTTTTTTGCTTTAGATCTGCAGAACAATTATTTTATTGAAACGCTAAAAATTTTAGTGTGGCCAATAGCATCTATTATTGCCAGAGGAATATTCAGTCCGAAAATTGTTTGATGATGAAAATCAAATATGTACCTCCAAATCAACAAAACATCTATTTGTTTATTGAAAGTATATCGGCCGGCTTCTCCGTATACAAAAATAACTTCAATTTTTTTTGCACACTTAATGCGCCCATATCAAAAATTATAGTAGCTTATTTAAATCAAATTCAAATAGTGGTTCTAACTCAGAACGAAATTAATACATGTCAAAGTCAACAATTTAAAATTTCTACGCTTTTATCAGAGTTCCTACATTGAGTTGAGAGAAATTTTAGATGACTTTGACAGCTTCATATTCAAAATACGTTTCAAAATGTCACGTATTGGCAATGCGAATTTTCAAACTATCAATTCTATACTTTTAATAAACAAATAGATGCTTTGTTGATTTGGAGGTACATATTTGATTTTCGTCATCAAACAATTTTCAGACCGAATATTCCTCTGACAATAATAGGTGCTATTGGTCACACTAAAATTTTCATTGTTTCAATTAAATAACAGATAGTTTAGCAGATCTAAATCAAATAAATGGATAATTGATGGATGCAGGCGCCACCTGTCAAAATCAAGGAAACTGTTTTAGATAAATTATTCCCAGTTTTTGACGTACTATTCGAACCTTCAATAAAATGTTGTGGTTACCATTTGAAATTCTCAAGTTGACTAGCCTAGCCTACAAGGTCGAAGTAGGCGTTGTTTTTCTGACACGAGTAAACTTCCTCCTCCCAGATATTAACTTCTTATTTGAAATATTTTTTCCTCGGATCACTCGTTTCCGAAATATTTAAGCGTTTCAAGATTCAAAAAAAAACACCCTGTGTTCCATTATTGTAAAGCTCATATAAAAATCACAGTTATGATCATATAGTAGATAAATTTGTATTCTGAAGCTTAAACAGTAAAATGCTATCGTATTCAAACTCAAGGTCGAGAAACGATCAGCTGATCCTCGCCATGAGGACTACGCCTCTAGTGGCTGATTCCGGCAAAATATGTTTTGTCGGGAAAGGAAAACTGGCCAACTGACATTGTGTGATCTATGCATGAGTTTCGAGTTGCAAGTCAGATTAGTCAGATCACAGCTGGTAAGGTAAATTACATGCGCACACGATCACCCTACGATAAACTGATAAATGATTAGATAACTTTCGCAGCATTGCAGTTGGCGGCTTATTTAATCGGAATCGATATTCTGATGGTTTTTTGCGGTTCGATATCATGTGGTTATTGCAAAGTAAAATTTAAATGTTTAAGTGAGATTTCAGTTTGATCATTTGGAATAATTTAAAGCTCATAATAACGCTGGCCGTTGAGTTGTTAACGAATTATAATAATTATACGATAAATTAATTTTAATTTGCGAGAATTATAGAATAAAAAATCGTCATACAGTAAAAATAAACTAGTTGGTTGAGCTTTTTGATCTTTTTATCGTCGATAGTCTTTATTGGTTTGTCTAGCGGCCACCAGATATTTGCATATGCGAGCATCTTGACACCTTGAATGGCGCGCAGTTTGAAAATTTTTATTTAACACCGTGAAGCATTTTTGGGAAACAAATAGTTTCCGAAATAGTATTGGTAAGAGAGTTTTAAAGTTCGTGCCAACTTGTCTGCTGCAACACTTGCCAAAATGTGTATATGATTTCATAACAAAAAATGTCTGGCTCTTGTGCTATTGATGGTCAAAGTTTTTTGGTGAAACTCGCTGTGAATTTGTTCTTATGTAACTCATATTTTGGTGAAACAATTGAGTTCATTGCCGTTTTGGACAAGGGGTGAATTATTGAGTGTCGTGGTACAATAACTACTAGAACTTTTTATTTGGTGGATGGAATCAACTCATTTTTTTATGGTTGATGCACTAATCTCTCTTTACCATGCTATTTAGGAAACTAGTGAGATTTAGTTGAAATGCTTCAATTTGTTTTACAAAAATACTTCACGGCACTGAATGTAAATTTGAAAATGGCGCGCCATTTACCGGCGCCCGAGCTGTCAAGAACCGCGAATATGAAATAATTGGCGTACTGCTAGAGGCGAGAGTGCAACTACTCAATATTTATATATGGCAACACTGCAATCAAACGTCTTTAATTTAATTGTTTATGTGATCATGTCGATGGTCGATGAACTAAATCCAAACATTATAAACAAATGAAATGCCGCTTTGTTAATGTGTGTTCTTGATAAGATGCAAGTACCTTCTTTTATGTTTTAACGTTAGACATGGAAAGCAAAATGCGATGTTAAATTATGTCAGCTTATCTCTTTACCTAGTTGTACTGCACATATTAACATTACGGCCTCGGAGCGTGGGTAGTAGAAGTGTAATGTAATTTGGTTATCACCGCTGAAATATGGAAGAAATTTCGAATAAATGTATGGATCTTTCAACGGAGAGACGATGGGACCCTTTAGGAGCTCCAAATGATGATAATTTCGATTTCGATAAACTTGACTTCTGTGATGAACACCACCAGTAAGTGCTGAATTTATATAAACTGAATCACACATGTTGAATAGTTTGTTGTCCAAGCAATAACTGAATAAGGTCGAACTTGAAATATGTTATTCTATTTGTGCTATTGTTCGGTGCAAATTACTTCATTGCTTAGGCCAGGAGTTCCCAAGTTTTTCAATTATAAGCGTCTTAAAAAATTTAATCTTTTGCCACGGCGCCCAAAATGTATGTGTCCACAGTGTTGTACAAGGGTGGTATTTTAGTGTCTACATACTATAGTATTTCCCATAGGGTAGTTTCAAATCACAAACGCTAATAATACTGTATATTGAGACTAGTTATTTTTTTTCACCCGGAGATAAAATCACAAATCTTCGTAAAGACACCCAGCTTGTTGAGACACTGAGTGCTGAGCTCTGAGTTTCTCACTGCAATAGATGTTCAAGAAGCTGAACTGCGAAAATTTTGGAATAAATATAGACTGCGAGACGCTAAACCATCTACGCTTTGCTGATGATCTCGTATTAATTGCCGACGACCTAAAGATATGCTATCGTGGATATCATAAGCTTTGAAGAAATTGGGCTAAAGATTAACATATCTAAATGCAAAATTATGATCAATTCAGATAGAAGTGGATATAGAACAATTGGCAAGCTATAAGTACGTTGAACATGAAACACGCTTAGGGCGAAGATAATCAAACCTGTGCACTAGAGAGAAGGATAAAACTAGCATGGGAAACTTTCGGTAAACTCAAACTAGTTTTCAATTCCAACATATACATACGCCTTAAGACTAAAGTGTATGAACAGTATTCTCCCTGTGCTGACATATGGATCTGAGGCCCTAGCGCTCCCAAAAAAACTACCAAGTTAAGAGTAGCCCAACGAGCAATGGAACGATGGATGCTTGGCACAAGACCGACGAATTTGAAAAGTTTTGAGGGAAGCTGAGGAAGTCCAGCAGCAGATGCAGGCTGTCTGATGATTCACTTTTGACGGCTATCCAAAACTCCACCAATTCGGAACCAGCAAATGTTGTTTCTTTTCTTCTTCGGAAGTGATTTTCGGTAGATCTTGCGCATGGAAAGGGTCTTAGATTCGCATACCTTTTTCGACTTAAGTAAAGTATTTTGTAAACCATTCAGTGCATGTTTTGCTTTTGGAGAAAATAAGGGCTTTAACAATAAGATTAACATCCAGGAATCTTACGTAACAACTATCTTGTTTTTCTCTTCTCCCTGCTGACAAAAGTCGTTATTACTTTATACCTCATCTATTTGCTGACTAAATTTCCTGCCCTTCATTTTCTCTATTAGATGGTTATGGAGATCCTCTAGCTCCTGGAGCTATGTAATGGATTATTTGTCTCACAGTGCTGTTAGATAAAGATACTAGTGAAGCTAGTTTGCCTGCGGATTTTTTTACTATAATATTAACCATGTCAAGAGCAACAGGTAAAAAGTTCTTCTGTGATAGTGCATCTCACTATAATAATTGAGCTAGCAAGGCTGTGACAAAAGTTTATCAAATTGATATTTTGTCAAATAAAAATGGTAAAATCTTTGAAGTATCGCTCTGGATACTCTTGAAGCTCTTCTTTGAACATTTTTGTCTTTTTCTGCGTTTTCATTGGGTGCGCCGCCACACAGTTTGGGAACTTCTGCCTTGAACCATATTTTTTTATCAATATTCTATTAATGTATAAGTATGAGCATATATGTAGTGAACATGGGTTAATGCATATAATAAAACATTTTTTGAAGGTATGCAGTTCAAAAAATCAGAACTATGGAGGATGAGCAAGAACTTCTTAATTCATCACTTTTTGCATTAACTACGCATTTTGCTCAAGTTCAGTTTCGTCTGCGTCAAGTTGTTAATTCGCCCCCAGAATACCGAGAAGAGCTGCTTAAATCTCTTGAAGAGTTTGCATTTCGCGGAATTCCAGATGTAGGTTTTGTGAGAGATAAAATGGATGATGCCAGCTTAACTGAAGCAGTTAGGCTCAGACGCACTCAGCAAAGAGAACTTATTGATAGGCTTAAAAGTCAATTACGAGAATTGGAACAATATGCTTTTGAAAACGGCGAAGCTGGAATTCCGCAGGATGTTTTGTTAGAGCGACAAAGTGTAATTTTAAACGAACTGAAAACCAGAATGAAACTTGAATTAGATGAATCAGACTATCACCAAGTAGGTATTTTTGAAATGCCTATATAAGTACAGGGTGAGCGAAACTGGATGACTCTGCGCTCTTATAAGAGACGTAAAAATGGGATGGAAAATCCGATAAGTCATTTTTTGTGGAGATGTGATAGAATAGTCACTGTTGCTACTTTCTGAGAATACTTTTTTCCGTATTTACTTATAATTTTTGATAGCAAAAGAAAGCGTATTTTCTTTCTTACAAAATTAGTATGCGTGTGCAAAATAAAAATTCGATGGTGCATCACTTCAGAAAAAATGTGCGAATTAGGCTTAAAATGACTCAATTCCGTTTCACATTTGTTTTTCATATTCTTTCAATCATTTTCTTTCATTTCTAATTGGGCCAACACATCTGGTACTCACCCTGTAGCTTTCACTTAATTTAATTATTTTAAGTTGTAGCTTTACTATAAAATCAATTATGCTTTTGTCCACAGCAAAATTAATTTTATGCACGTTGCACCCCACTCAGTATTAAAACATGAAATTGTTAAATGCTTTACATAATATATTTTTAGCTGACTCCAGAGTGTGTAAAGCAGCAAATAAATCTTGCATTAGATCAATTAATAAGTCCACTAAAAGTCAAAGAACATCTTGTAGCACAATTGAAGACTCAAGTTGCAGACTTAGAACGTTTCATTGGCTATCTGCAAAATGATGGGGGTAAACATCAGAAATGCAGCTGTGGTTGCGCTTATCATTCTATGAAAAAGTCTTTTCGCAATGAAACTACGTTAGGTTTAATACAGAAGACTGCGACACTGTTGCAAATGTTTGCTGTAATGCAGCTGGGGTGTGGAGTAAAATCTCATTTTAGAAAAAATGACCTTAAGAACACAATGAAAATTAATCATTGGGGGTAAGAATGCAGAGAACAACTTATTTCGGGTCATATCTAACATTTGTCTTGTAGAGATTTGAGAGCTAAATTAGAAATGGCTATCGCCCGTGTAAAAGAACTAGCTGAAGCAAGTGAAAATCAAAATGTATTTTCTATGCCGAACAGAGAAGGTTATGAGAGTGATTGTGAAAATCAAGTGTTTTCTCCCTGCAATCTACAACTTACAACGGCAGTGCGTAAATATTTGGTGCCATGTATTAGGGATTTGATTCAGCACGGCTCGTGTTCATCCCAAAGTACCAGTCTAGTCCCTTTTATTGGATGTTTTCCTAGAAGAGCTTCTCTTACAAGTACACATATTCATGCTTGGGATCTAATATTAGGCATGTATTTCAGATCAGTAATGACGTATTTGTCAATTTTAATATATCTTGTAGAATACTATCACTTAAAGAATGGAGAGAAATACAATTCAACCCCTGCGAGAAAATTGTCTCAGAGTTTCAATTTGGATATAGCAGGGGCTTCCCCAAATAGTAATAAACAGAATATGCTTTGCGCCATAGGTTCTATTATTTCTACACATACTCCTTATAAAAGAAGCTTGGATTCACATTTTAAAGCTTTTATTTGTGCAGCTTTAAAGTAAGTATATCTTTATAAATTCCTATATTTATCTACATCCACTAAGTTGTGGAATATAATATAATAAAACATATATTTTTAGAAAATGTTTAGTTTATATGGAATATATAGCTTGTAAAGAAGAATATGATTGCGCCATTACATATATTATAAAATTTCTAATTTAGATTTCAGTTGCGCAGATCAACGTCCCAACTTTACTCTCGACAATTATTATTAATAGTTCTTCAATATTACCTTTGAGCAATTGCTGGTTTTGCGAACTAATATTTTTTTATTTTGCTTTAGCGCTAATAAACTTGTGCCATGGCTAAACTTGCTATTTACATGTAATGCCCTAATAAAGGATTATTACCTACCATGGAGTTATGTTGCAAAGACAGGTAAAAATTGTTAGTTGCAAAACACTGCAACACATTCATCGCTATGTTACATTTCTAGGATTTCAAGACAGCTTGAAAAGTTTAGATGTTCTAACTAAATACAAATTTGATTTACCTGTGGATTTGGCCGTTAGACACTTCCAGAACATTAAAGATGTCTTCACATGATTAAATAATATTATTGTATTTGCGTGTATGTATTTTCTGTTACGTTATATGTAATTACGAGTAATATGTATTATATTTGTTCCTTAAAGTTAATGTTAATTGAATATTTGTATCAGTTGATAGGTGAATGTACCCACCTAGTCTTTAACTTCACATTGTATAAAAATATCGTTATTAAATAAAATATGCATTTCATTTTACGATCTACTTTTCTTGTTTTTTGTCCAAACGTCCAAAGCCTCGAAAAGTTAACGTAAAATTGTAAATTCCAACCGAGAAAATTGAATACATTCGCCTTTTAAGAAATGCGGGTTTTGTTGAGAAAACGTGGCAATCATACCATATTAAATTATGGAAAAGCCAACTTAAAAATAAATTGACTTCCTTTAAACCTTAACTCTCAACAAATCATGGAAAAGTGAATGTGAAATAGTAAAATAAATTGCTTTTAATATTTAACCCTCAACAAGATTAGAAAAGTGAACGTGATATTGTTAAATTCAACCAAAAAAATTAAATACATTTGCCTTTTAGAAAACGCGGTTTTAAATTGAAATAACATGGCAATCATACTTTGCCAAGGTATGAAAAATTCGATTTTTAAAAAGTTTTGAACGTAACCTGGCATGAATCCTTAACTCTCATCAAAGTCTAGAAAAGTGAACGTGAAAGAGATCTAACGGAGAAAATTTAATATATTTGCCTTTAAAGAACGGCGGCTTTTAATTTGAAAAAAAGAACATGGCAATCCAACCCTATTTTTAACAGACGATAACCAACATAACCCTCAACAAACGATGGAAAAATGAACGTAAAATATTGAAATTCAACCTAGAAAATTTAAGACTGCTTTTAGTTGAAAAAGAAGCATGGCAATCGTACCCTATTCAACTATAAAAAATGCCAATTAAAAAAAAATTCGATCGAAAACTGCCTTAAATCCTGAACCCTCAAGAAGCCTAGAAGAGAGAACGCGAAATTGTAAAATCCCATCTAGAAAATTGTAACATTGGCCTTTTAAGAAAGACTGCTTTTAATTGAAAAAAAAACATGGTAGTCGTACCATATTCAATTATGAAAAATGTCAATTTAAAAAATTTCGATCGAAAACTGCTTTAAATCCTTAACCCCCAATAAGCCTAGAAGAGAGAACGCGAAATTGTAAAATCCCATTGAGAAAATTGAAACATTGGCCTTTTACGAAAGACGGCTTTTAATTGAGAAAACATGGTCATCGTACCCTATTAAATTATGAAACAAATGCCAATTTACGAAATTTCCGATCGCAAACTGGCTTTCATTCTTAACCGTGTTGACTATTCCTCCAGACACCTGAAAAATATTCTGCAACTGAGCTTAAAGCCGAGGTTCGTAGGGTGGAGGCCGATATGTCCAATATGATGCCAAGATATTTAGAATTGGTGTTAACGATCCATCCTGATCCAATTAGAGTCAAATTAATTGTCTTAGTGGCCTGCCTAGTGTTTAAGCCTGTGTCCCGTGCATCCGTTTATACGATGGTACGATGATACGAAAGTGTTTCTATTGATTCTCAAAAGGACTCAAGCTCGACGTATCTGGTACTTTGGGTTGCAATAACGAGATAGTCGGCATATCTAGGATATCAGCTATATACCCATTGAAGCGTGGCTACAATTGATCCTTGTGCTAGACCGTTGTTGAGGCGCTTTATTTTGCTAGATGTAGGTGCTATTTAACAGCATATTATTTAATAATGTGGTTAGTGCTTTGCAGCGGCATTTGTACGCTAGTCCTTCACGACAGACATATCGCAAGCTGCTGTGAGATCGATAAAGACTACTTGTTTTAAGACGCGTCTCTATGAAAGTAGACTCGAAGACTTGATCTTGGTAGCTGCGTTGGGATACTAAATCCTGCTTGCTCTATAGGTATACAATTCAAAATCATAGGAGAAATTCTATTCTGAATACGTCTTTCCAGAAGTTTTCAGCAGCGAATACCTTACTAGGTAGATCTGGTTACTTGCCTGGCTTGAGCCTCGTTATGATTTTAGCCCTTTTGAATTATCCACGAATAGTAAGGCCAGTTCCTTAAGGATTCCATTAGGCAGAAAATTAACTAATAATATTTTGAACCCGCTTGTCACTCCTCTACCGCAGTTAACTCTACCTGGCCTCGATTTCCCAATATGGTCGAGCACCGACCAATCTTTTTAGACCAGAGAAAAAAATTGGTTTTGTATTAAAAACGTTTCAAACATGGGGCGTTGGATTAGGTCGACAAAAGATCATGGAGCTAGTTCGAGAGTTTATTACAAGAAATTATTTGAAAAACAATTTACAAATGGGATACGTAGATGATTGGTTTTAAAACGTTCAGATACATGGGTTGTCGTTAACATAGAACATCTTCCCAAGATGCTCCTACAATCAGCTCTAACCAACGTTATACATAGAATAACAGCACCAGTTGAAGAACAAATCATCGCAGCAAAATACGGGAGACTACGTGGATCGTCACCGCATCGGTTATCAACCCCTTAAAAGGAATGATGGGGATTTGTCCGTATATTGAAACACGGTTCTCATATCAAATGTTCTTATATTGACAAAAAATTACATATCTATATAAACACTAAAATAAGATACGACTTTACTAACACTAAAACGTGTTGAAATAATAGTCTCGATTGACGTCACAATACGTAATTAAATTATAAAGTGAAATGTGTGTGAACTTATGAAATACAATTAACTTAGATTTATGCGAAACTTACAGCTTCTAGAGGTAACTTTAATAATACTAATACACTAACTATATTATTATGTCATGCTTATGCTAAATAACATTTAAAATTGCTGAAATGGTACTAACATCTATAACATTCATTAAAATATATTGTTACACTTCAGTAATCATACACAGAAAAAGGGGTTTTAATTAAGTTTAAGACTTTCGTTCAGTTGAGATATCTGCTTCAAACACTTGCACTATTTGAGATACTTACAATCTCAAGTATGTGCTACGATTATGTTGATACTTTTTTACTACAATTAAATCTACAAACATACTATACTGATAACTGGTTCGATTGTCGAATGAACTCAATTAATCGGTGTAAGTATGAAGCAAGTTCATAACGGAAGAAATCAAATAATTCAAATGGACATTAGCTTGGACTCTGATAGTGATAGTACTTTTCATGTCTCTTATATAGGACATCCCATTACTTGGGCGTGCGTTTTTGCTCTGAGTGTTTTAACGTCGTCCTGTATCCTGATTAACAGTCGGAATTTCTGAAATATGAAATGCTCTAAATTTCTCATTGGAAATTATTAGTTAACATAGTTCGCAGCACTTATAATTTTTAGAATTTTTGATTTGTTTTCGACATATTTTATACAGTTCTGTACTATTTCTGAATTACGGTTCAATAACACTACTATTGTTTTCGAATAATAACTGAGGGCCGCTGTAGAAACACAGTAAGAAGATAAGATGTACACTACAGACAAGAAAGTAATTTGTTGTTCCCTATTAATCCTAAATTTCAAAGACATCAACAGAACAATTTTTCCATAATTCGCCCTCATTAATAAATGTTACTACATTTAACTGTATACTTTGCAATGCGTCTAATATTGTAAAATTATTTAAAAGTAATTGACTCAACTTACGGTCTGCCTATCTCCGGGTGTTGTAAACCATAAATATACAATATATCCAGGAATGCACAACATCGAAGTTAGAGCTGTAAACCATCCAAATAAGTGTGCCCAAAATGGAAATTCATAATCTAGGTATTTAACCGGTGTCCACTGAATCAGGTTGAAAACAAAAACACCCTGTAAAATTAGGCGTGTTAGTTCTGCTTATGAATTCAAAAATGAGTTCATGCAACATACTACACAAATCATGGGAGTTGCCACAATCCAACAAAACTTCCACCACGAAGTAGGGTAATATCCAATCATCTCCTTAATCCCATCATAGAACCGATTAACACCAAACGCCCACGATACCGCTATGCATTCGAAGAATATCAAAAACAGTAAGCTGAAACCACTAACTGCGTAAGAGTCCAGAATTTGAAACACGTACATTCCACCCTGTGAAAGAAAGGTTGATTTAACAGAAATTTAGTAGTATACGGTTGGGTTTCAAAAATAGCAATCCATTCTAGGCCTGGGTAACTCAATGAATTTTTAGGAGCTGGCGCAGTGCTGCGCAAATGGCTTCGGCGTCAACTCAACGCATGGTTGCAGTTACCTAGTCCTGTTGCTGGGAAACTGTTACTTTTTTATTTTAGTTGTTGTACACTCATAAAAATGTTGAAGTTTTTTTTAGATGTTAAAATGCCAGCCTCGGTTCTGGTAAAGCGTTAATCCACTTTAACAAATGAGTTATAACTCATCAACTCAGTGAGCGGCAACAACTCAAAAGTTCATCTTAACACAGTGTGACCCAGGCCTAACCCATTCCCCTATATTTTATCTATTTAGCTATACAATATTTATTAAGGTATTACAGATACAATAGAGTTTTTAGGCCCCTTAAAATTACGTTGGCCTTAAACGCTAAACGTTATTGTAATCATGAGCTGTGTTAAAAAAATTAGGTGTTCAGGCAAATAACGTTAAGTGTGTTTTTTAGTTTTTGATACCGCGTTTGTTGCACTCTTAATAAAATGAACCTCACTTTATTGTTTTCTTATCCCGTTTTGTTTGAAAAAGTTTCAAAGCTAGTTTAAGGTTGTATTGTTATTAAAGAAAAAGTGGCTAAGCTGGAAGAAAACATTGACGCTGCATTTCTGCGCCGGAATGACCAGGGAAATGTGGATCACGATTTAATAGGAGGTTTAATTTTACACGACAACTTTGACTCACCTGTTGTTGCAATTTTAGGTTTCAGAAGGAACATATTCCGAACATATTAAATAAGAATTCAAAATCAAATAGTTAGGTTATGGGTTAGAAGTGCTGTCATGTCCGTGCTATGTTAGTAGTATTTCCAGTTCAAATTTGCCCAAACAATTTTCACATAAAATCCGTAATTACGCAATAATGGCGTAACTTAATCAATGAAAAAGTCTTATTTAAATTTACAATACATTTCTTATTCTATTATAGCCACTTATTTTATTAATAATATTAGAAACAAGTCAAATATGTCAACACCGTCGTTCTGCTTTTTAACGTAATGCTTATTTCCGTTACCGCTACTCGTACGTAAATAAAGGAACACGTTATCCTCTAATAACATAAACGGTTATTTCTTTACTAATGCGCATGCTCAGAATAACGGATAACGTAAAACGTGTTGCAATTAAGGGGACTAAAAACTCTCTATTAATGAAATGACTACACTACTAATGAACCGATAATTCACCGTGTATTGGGCCTGATGGTCGACCTGGGATCTCATTTGCTATGCTGTCTTATATATGATTTTTTATGAGTAAGGTTTTCCACTTTTCAGAGTTTGCGGGGCTCTCTCAAGCTTGGGGCTCGGGGCTTTAGCCCCACCTAGCCCCTCAGTTAATCCGGCTGTGTGCTACACAGTTATGGCCCGATAGTTATTGCAGTCTTCTTCTGTATGGACGTTATCCAGCCTAATCTTAAATTTCTGGTAGTTTCTGGTCTGGGTATCTGCATGTGCGTGTCTTTATCTTGTGAGTTATACCTACATACTTCGATTATTTTATCGCCATTGTCATTTATTGCGCTCTCCCCCATATGGCCCTATTGCTTTCTTTCCTGTTCCTCTACCTACTACAAGTATAATTATTTCTCTTATTCGACCTGACTCGGAGGTTATTTCATCTAGTAGTTCGGAATCTTTTACTTCTTCTTCGACTCTTCCATCTTCAGTCGGACCATATGTGCCAATTATTTGCTTCGCTTCTTTCAAATTGAGGTTGACTTTTATCATTTTCTCTGATTTTTGTATTTTTTCAGGATTAGCATCAACTCCGGTTTTTGCAAATTCTTTGTTGTTAGCATGTTACTAAGGTGTCTATATTTTTCCAGATTTTGTTTTTCTCGTTCCTTTTTTCATGGTTTCAGTGATAACGGCAAAGTCCATCCTATGTTTTTCCATTTCTCGAATGCCTGAACATTCCTTGTATCACAAATCCATGCCCTTTTGCGTTTCGATTGTCTTTGTTCATTATTTCTGTTCGGAACAAAATACTCGTGTGCCTTACATTGATTTAATTTAAGCCAACCTATGCAAAAATCTGAGTAGACGAAGGAAACAGACGTCTAAATTAAATGTCAGCAAAATTATAAATTAATTTAATTTGCCTTTTTCCTAACAATGCGACTTAAGTCAAAGGCAATAAATCGACAATTTGTAAAAAACTTAAAATTCAACGCGATTTTTTACAGATTTGCGTTTGTTTAGACAAACAACTTATTAATACCGTCGTTCGGGGTGAAGCTGGACGATTTTTTCAGTTTTATTCCAATAAAGTAATTTAGAGTCTTCCGTGTCTTCTTTACCGAATTCCATAACAACACACATTAACTTTTCATTCTCGCCTAATTTTTTTTGATAAAGGGTGTCCGCGTTTTCACCTATGTGGGTAAACGCGGACGGCCCTTTATTAAGCGTTAAAAATGGTCTTAGCAAATAGTAAGAGGCGTATTCTTATTCTTAATAAGTTTCCCTTCTTCTTGTGAAATGAGGCACTGATAATGTTTCTTCGTTTTTATTCCTTTTTTCCCAGCCTGTCTCAAGCTTTTTCTGCCTTGTCGAATATTTTCAAGTGCTCTAGCGACGTTTTCTTTATTGCAGTTCTTGAAATTAATACCGATTTTCTTTTAATGCTGCCTAACCATGGTGTCCGCCTTTACCTCTATAAAATGACTTTTTTTACTAAAACTCAATTATTTAAGACAAATAACAAGATTTTCTTATGAATTTGTCATGGGTTTACTGATAATAGACAACATCAGAAAAAAATACTCATTTGGATTTTTTATTTTTAGTATTCTCTTGTGTGCGACAGTTCTTATAGTTTTCAAATTCCAAGAAAAGAAATAAAATTCATCAAATCCTCACCCTGTATTCTAAGGCGAATTTATCTAGCGAAAATTTATATTAATATTACTAATGACACCAGCAACTTAACGGATGAGAAAATGAAGGTTGGGTACTTTTTTACACAAGGCATCAAAAGATCTTGAGGAAAATATTGACCAATAACGGTCTATCTGAGTTCGCCCCCACAGTCGGATTTCACTCCGAATGACCCGTATACGTTTTTTAGGTATCTTTGGACAATGAAATCAGAATTTGTATCGAAACGTGAAGGTCACTTTTCTGAAATAATTATTGGGCCGCTTGAGTGAGTCTATGTGTCTCGTAAGAGACCCTTTAGGCATCGACCGCCTTCCTTTAAATCAACAATTAGCTTTTTATTGTTAAATATAAGCACTTGTTGTCGGACGCCTTCTTTAACAGATGTAATGTCAGGAATTTCTGCCCTTTTAAGAGGCAAAAATGTTGAAACGAAATACCCAACAAAACGGTTTTGAAAACATGCATCCGTCCCAACCACTAAATACACTTATTATATGCATTACATATAAAATTACTTTAAAATGAGGATTTTTAATTCGTACCTGTGATATACACGTTAATCCGACTAAATAGCTTATTAAGCACACGAAGGCGATGAATATTTCTTTCCTTTTTCGCAGAGCCTTGGGCCATTCGTCAATAATAGCTGTAACAAACCCTTCCATTGTACAGAATTGGGAATCTAAACCAATTAGTAGAATCATAAGAAAGAACAGGCATGCCCATAGCGGAGATCCTGGTAATTGTAGTACTGCTGATGGGTACGCCAGGAAAGCTAGACCAGGACCTGTAATTGAAAATGTTGTTTATTATAACATTCAGAACTCCACTTCACTTGCATCCCTGCACAATAAATGAAAATATAGTAATAATGTTTATAAATAGTCAATAAATTGAATATTAATATGTAATTAAAAGACCTTCACTTGCCTGATGCAGCAACTTCTGCTACAGGTTTCTGCTGTTCATGAGCCATAAAGCCGACTACTGAGAATATGACAAAACCAGCAAACATGCTAGTACTAGAATTTACTGCACATACTATTAATGCATCCCTAAAATATTCAATTCAATTAGGCTATCGTGTACCTCAAAAAGTATTCCATAATTTGCTATATATTGGTAGTTTGTGTAACCTACTTGTAAACATTGTTGTTAAATTTATTGTAACTTCCCAGTGCTACTAAGGTGCCAAGACCAAGCCCATAAGAGAAGAAAATTTGCGTTACAGCGTCTATCCACACTTGTGATTCACTAAGTTTATATACGTTAGGCATTATATAAAATTTAATGCCTTCCATGGCTCCAGGTAAAGTTACTCCTCGTATCAGTAAAATGGTAAGTAGAACGTAAGGAAACAAAGCAGTAAAGTATACCACTTTTCCTGTCCACTTTACTCCTTTCCAGATACAGAAATAGCAGATGATCCAAACAAGAAGTAACGTTCCAGCGAGTTCCCACCTTATTGAACCAACATGTTCGATCCCGTCTGATATTTGAAGAGCTCTTCTCCTGCGAAAAAATGCAAATCATTGTTGCGATGGCTTTGAAAATACAAAGGTTTATAAAATATAAACGGGATTGATTAGGTTTTTCACTTCAGACGAAGGTCGAAGCACGAAGTTGATTTTTAAGTAGCCTGGATGGATGGGACAGCAACGACTCGCATTCTGAGCGAAAAGCTGTTCAATCATCAAATCAATTTCTTATTATCTTATAAATTATCGGTAGTTTTCCCTGGATTTTGCGATTTAAGCAACATGACAATTACAGGTAATCATCAAGCTCTAGTCACAAAATGTATGTTTTTAATATTAATAGGGCTGGAAATATAATCTAAGTAGTAATTTATATTTTGAGTCTCACTGTTACTAAGTAAAGAGAAAATCCGACTCGACCATTCCCAATTCAATTAGAAAAAATGTCTCATTTTCTGAGCTTTGTTCATGAAGACTAGCTGCTTATTAACATACAAAGTACAACACTTTGGCAGGTAATATTTATTCAGTTTGGTTAGCCAGGAGACTAAGATTCGCGAATAGTAAAATACAAAGGTACCATGGAGGATGTTATGCCTTAAGAACTGTTGAGATTTTAGAGAGATTATGCTTACTCCCAGAATTCCTTGACCGGATCCGTCAACTGGTTGATGGTAACATTGTTTCTGTTAAGTGAACACACTTTGTATACGCTACTATTGAAACTGCTGTATTGTTCCCAACAAGTTAAAGCGCTTCTGTCGTAAGGGTTTACGCAAAACTTGGTATTCCAATAGTTGCTGCAGGTTCTCCATGGAACATCTAGCCAAAATAATGATGTTCAAATTTATTTGAAAGAAAGGCTTCTTGAATAAATGCTGTATATTTTTATTCATTTTAATCGAATTTACCTGCTCGAAGAGACATGAAGAAGTAAAATATTGCCCAGGCTAAAATCACAATATAGTAGATGTTCATCCAACATGACATCACAGCTGCTGCATACCCGATACCTATCCAAAGATATTGACGATATTATTTTACATATGCAAATCACATGAACATACCCTTAAATATAGGTGCGATTTTGAAAACACCTAAACCACCAATTGTCATCATTTGTCCTAATGCAAGTTCCATGAAAAACATTGGAATTCCCGCTAATATAAGTGTAATAAAATACGGCACCAAAAACGCACCGCCACCATTTTTGTAACATAAGTAAGGAAACCGCCAAACATTTCCTAAACCTATGGCTAAGCCCACTACTGATAATATAAAGTCTAATTTGCTACCCCATGTTCCCCTTTCAGGTAAGCTGCTGCTTTTCATAAACTGAATTTGGTTTATGGAGTTTACCACATTGGCTATTGGTGGTAGTTCGATTTCCTCATGTCTGTTTAAGTGGAACGTGTTCTTCAGGCAGTCGTGGGATTCCGGCTCTTTTCTGTTGGCCATTTCTCATTCTAATTTTGGCCAGCGGGTTTGTTCAGGTAATATGTTGTCAGCTCATCACAAAACTGAAACCAACAAAGGGAAAAACTTACACACTATTGAAATACGGCATTTTTTCAATTGGATCACGGTTTTTGCGGCCTGAATTGAAAAAGGGTGGACTTTTTTTTGAGATCAAGAACGTTGTCATGTTGAAATAAAATAAAGTTATACGTCTGGAATAAATAATTATTAAAAGGGAAAAATTATGTATCCGACTAAACAGCGTGTATTATATAGAATATTTCAATTAAAACACTAGCAATAGAGAAGGCAATCAGTGAACAATTACTACACCAAACGATTAACATTAGGAACGATTTACAAAACGACTAAAATACAAAGGTACATGACAAACATTTTCTTTTATCGCATACATGGATATTACCATATCCTGTAAAGCATGATAGTGTGTATATACAGGGTTTCTTTAAAAGGTGCCGAAAAAATGCCATTAGAAATTATTCAAGCTAAAGTATATCGAACTAACGCAACTTAAAAGTGAATGATTTCGAAGATACAAAGTGTCAAATATTCAATTTGGCTTTACTTCTTCATAAATATTTCCTTTGAAAACTTGCGTATAACCACAATATTCGACATTAATTTTTTAATAAAATTTTGTTTTAAAAAATTTAAAAAAATCTGTTTATATTTTTATTTTGTATTTAAAAAACAACTCGCCCATAATTGGTAGATACCGCTAACGTTTCAGTTTTAAGTTTTTATATATCTTACGCCAGGCATTTAGAACAACTTTTTGGTTTTTATTTATAACTTTGGAACAAAACCTTCTTCTTCAAATATGAAATTGGATCATTCGCTTCTTTGGTACGATTTCAGTTCAAACGAAAACGCATCCAAAGGTCGACCGGCCTTAAGTTGAGATTTTAATGTTGATTTCTGATAGAGTGCAAAAAATTTTGTAATTTCTTGAATCAAAGATACAACTACAGATGATAAATAATCTACAATAAGCTGTAATGGAGCTAGATGAAATCGAGTATCACAAGTAATAAAAAAATTCTCACACAATTGCTTAAAGGACAATATAGCATTGACGTATTGCTCTAAAATCCAAAAGTTTCACGCGCGAAAATATACACATTCAAGCTTAGATTAGTATTAAAATTTCAAGTTTAAACCATCTTGGCTTTCAGTATAATCACGCTATAATGTAAGCTCATTAAAAGCATGTCAAAACTCCCAACCGTTCCTAGGTAACTGTAACATTCCAAAATATTGAAATTCAAAAATTCATCCACGAACAAAACAAAATCAAAATAAACCCATTACGAACCTTTTCATTCCGTTTATTC